CAGCAGAGCAGACTTTGGGTGGAGGTTGTCCCTGACAGGGGCTGTAGGCCTCGTCTCCAAATGTCCTACTTAAAGTCCACAATGCTGCTGTTTGTTGTAAAAGGCATATTTACTGCGGGGTCAGAGAGCTACCGGATCCTAAAGGTAGAACCTTCACCATAAGATCTTTAAAAACCTCCCAACTGAACAAAAGTTCCATAAAACCCAGAGTTTGCATGAATGAACAGACATCCTGGTTCAGGTACTATGGTCTGATGGGGGGTCCAGATGTTAGGAGATGATTCTCTATCCAGAGGCTGGTCTGAAAGCTAGCAGATGCTAACCAATCAGTAGCAGCAGCTGTCAGGCAGAAGGTCTGAGATGCTGACCAAATAATACTCTGATCCCTGCAAAGGAGCAAAGAGTCCAGTTAAATAAAATGATTTGCCTACTGGGTGCCATCCGTCCAATCAGAGAGTCCAACAATCCCACCAGCTCTCTGGCCCAAAGAACCAAATGTTCTTCTGGTTCCTTTGGACTCAGGGAACTCTGGCATAGAAAATCCTCTTCCTCCATCTGCTGTCTCCACTGCTCTTCTACATCCTGGTTTGATCATTAGCCATCCTAAACTAGGCTATTAGCCATCCTAAGCTAGGCTATTAGCCATCCTGAGCTAGGCTATTAGCCATCCTGAGCTAGGCTATAAGCCATCCTAAGCTAGGCTATAAGCCATCCTAAACTAGGCTATTAGCCATCCTAAGCTAGGCTATAAGCCATCCTGAGCTAGGCTATAAGCCATCCTAAGCTAGGCTATAAGCCATCCTAAACTAGGCTATTAGCCATCCTAAGCTAGGCTATAAGCCATCCTAAACTAGGCTATAAGCCATCCTAAGCTAGGCTATAAGCCATCCTGAGCTAGGCTATTAGCCATCCTGAGCTAGGCTATAAGCCATCCTAAGCTAGGCTATTAGCCATCCTAAACTAGGCTATTAGCCATCCTAAGCTAGGCTATAAGCCATCCTAAGCTTGGCTATTAGCCATCCTAAGCTAGGCTATAAGCTATCCTAAGCTAGGCTATTAGCCATCCTAAGCTAGGCTATTAGCCATCCTAAGCTAGGCTATAAGCCATCCTAAACTAGGCTATTAGCCATCCTAAGCTAGGCTATAAGCCATCCTAAACTAGGCTATAAGCCATCCTAAGCTAGGCTATTAGCCATCCTAAGCTAGGCTATTAGCCATCCTAAACTAGGCTATAAGCCATCCTAAGCTAGGCTATAAGCCATCCTAAGCTAGGCTATTAGCCATCCTAAGCTAGGCTATTAGCCATCCTAAGCTAGGCTATAAGCCATCCTAAGCTAGACTATTAGCCATCCTAAGCTAGGCTATAAGGCATCCTAAACTAGGCTATAAGCCATCCTAAGCTAGGCTATTAGCCATCCTAAGCTAGGCTATTTGCTTTACTAACACGCTGAAGAGAAACCAGCTGACTGAACAATCAATCCCATGGATCTCAGGTCCAGACCTGGTCCAGGTCCGGTCCCAGGTCCGGTTGCAGACCTGGTCCAGGTCCAGTCCCAGGTCCAGGTCCGGTCCCAGGTCAAGGTCCAGTCCAGGTCCAGTCCCGGGTCCGGTCACAGGTCCGGTCCAGGTCTGATCCCAGGTCTGGTCCAGACTTGGTCCAAGTCCGGTCCAGACTTGGTCCAGGTCCAGTCCCAGGTCCAGTCACAGGTCCGGTCCAGGTCCAGTCCCAGGTCCGGGCACAGGTCCAGGTCCAGTCCCAGGTCCGGGCACAGGTCCGGTCCAGACCTGGTCCAAGTCCGATCCAGGTCCAGTCCCAGGTCCAGTCCCAGGTCCGGTCCAGGTCCAGTCCCAGGTCCGGGCACAGGTCCGGTCCAGACCTGGTCCAAGTCCGGTCCAGGTCCAGTCCCAGGTCCAGTCCCAGGTCCGGTCCAGGTCCAGTCCCAGGTCCGGGCACAGGTCCAGGTCCAGTCCCAGGTCCGGTCCAGGTCTGGTCCAGATCACTATCATGATCTTTAAATGTTTAAGAAACACTGTATTTTTTTCATTGTCTCCCTGTTGGTTTCCATGGTAACCATGAAAAAGATCGACCAGCAGGCTGCGCAGAGGTGCTTTGACTGGTCCAGTTCTGGTTAAATGTGGGGGTGCAGAGGGCCCAGCATTATCATCTGACATAGAGCTAGGATCTATAGAAAGGATAGACTGTTTGACCTCCACCAAGGAGTCTATGTCTGTGCTTCTGTGTAAAGGACACTTTTACTAAAGGTGCTGCTCAGTCCATTAAACAATCCATTACATTTTGGTGATGAACCAGATCATAAACCAGATGCAGCATGTTTACAATTTTCCTTTAACGTCATTTAAAACGTTCCCTTCAACAGGGGTGCAGCGTTACTAAACAGAAGTGTTAACTGAAGTGCAGAGTGATCAATGTGGCAGAGGAAAAACTACACATATGCAGAATCCGGATGTGGGTGAATGTAGTGCAGAGCGTAAGTGGACTCACAATACGTCGCACTAGGAGAAAACAGGACCGGGCGGGTCTTACTGGTAATGCAGTCATATCAATAAGCGTGATGCTGGGTGAGGGTGTAGTGGGTGTGGAGATGAGGCGCTACAGAGCTTCACAACTACAAATGGCGCAGTACTGCAGGAGTCAATATTGTTTATCATGGGGTAGGGGAACGGGTGGAGACTCGGGTGGGGTGTTACGGAGGTAAATGTGCGGTAAGGGGTGAGGGTGAATAAAATGACATGCAGGAGCTGTGCTGTAGAGAGATGAGAATGAGACAATGATGAATGTGATGATGAATGATGAATGATGATGAATGCAATGATGAATCGAATAATGAGCAATGACGGAATGAAACATGAATGAATGAGAAGCACTGACAGAATGAATGACGATTGATGCTTGAATGAGATGAAGACAATAAAATGACATTGATGATGAAAGGATGAATGATGATGCTGATACTGATTGACTGTTGACTGATGAACCTTTGGACCAATGATGATTGATGGATGGAAGATGTGAAGATGTGACTATACCATGATGTGCATATCATATCGATGCACGATATGCCATGATGCATGAATGCATGAATCCGAATGAATGCATGATAATGATCAATCGCATGCATCATGCATCAATCATCGCATGCCTGATCAAATGCATGCATGAAGAATATATCATGCACATGATGCATAATATCGAATGAATGATGAATGATGATCGATGCATGCTGATCTGATGCATAATGATGCAATATGCCTGAATGCTGATCATGAATGCTGAATGCATATCATCCATCGATGCATGATGACTATGCATGATGCATGATGCATAATGCCATGCTGATGCTCATGATGATCATGATGAAATGCTGCAATGACTTATGATGACATCATCCATGCATCGAATGTATGATGCGTGAATGAATCGATGACATGAATGCAATGATGCCTGATGACATATATGAATCATGATGACTGAATGCTCGCATCCATCGATGCATGCAATCGATACATACATGATGATCGCAATGATCGCAATACTGCTATGCAATGCATTAATGCATGAATGCTGAATGATCCGAAGATGCATCCATCCATGACATATCAAAATCATCCATATCATGCTGCATGATGCCAATGACTCAATCGACATCGATGAGATCATGCATGAATTGCATCATGCATCGACCATGATATGCCATCAATGCATGAATCATATGATGCATCATAATGATGCCATGAATGCCATGAATGATGAATGCCATATGACTGCATGCATGAATGATCATGCATGATGCATGCATGCTCATATGCATATCACATGCCA